TAACAGATTTTCTTTAATGAAGGTAATGGTAGAGGACTGAGGTGAATATTATGAATTCGCGAAATCATTTCAATTATTTTAAATGATTGACTGATGACATTATGCAGTACATAATACAGACAAGTTTCATTTAATGTATTATAAACTTCAAGTTGAACGGGAATTGTGTCATACTAAAGTGTAATCTTTTACGTTTATCGGAATATAATAATATTTTAAGTAATCTTGAAACGATGCCATTTAAAAATAAGTCTGATGTTAATCATGATTTATTTGTATTCAAACGACTAAAACTGGAAATTAGTCCATTTCCGTTGTTGTTGGGATATATTTTAGAAAGATAAAGTCATGGAAATACCATTTTCAGCTGTCAAGAAAAAAAAATTCTCAAAATATATAAAAATATTTTAAAATATCAAATTATAAGAAAAACTTTAGCTAAAGGAAATAAAATCCAGTAAATCCCACCTTAATAATAAATCTTTGAAATAAAACCATGTAATGCTTATAAATGTACTATTACTTAAATTACAATACTGTAAGTAATTTAACGAGGTAATTTTGAGATTACTACTGAACTAATTTAAAATATTAAGGCAAAACAGAAAAACTCTAAGATACCTACATCTGTTCCGAAAGAAAGCAATTAACAAAATGCACCGACTCCGTTGTAAAGTTGCGCGCTTCCAACCTGCACGCAACAAAGTGGTGACTGCTAAGAACTGGAAATATACCAAAGTCTTGAGAAGGGTTTAAATCCCTTTTATTCAACTTTAGAAGTTACAAATGCGTGCTCTTGAAGCTCACAAACTACGCCGACCCGGCAGTAAAATAAAAATAAGAAACTAAAAAGAGATAATAACAAGCGACTAACTACGAGGCTCTCTAAACGTAACTAACCTCACCGTGTTCTAAAATACCGCTGATAATTCAGCAAACGCTGAATATTACGTTGAAAGATTAACAATCTGCCGAGGCAAGCACCGGCCGAAACGCGTGGTTCTTCAATTTCTAACTAGCCACCTCCACACTCGTGAAGCAAGAAAGCACACCTTCGAACCCGTTTCCTTTCTATTTAACTCAGAATACTTCCGCTGATAATTTGAATCCTTGCGCGTTCTACTAAAATTTACATACTCTGGCATTGGCAATTCCAGGGGAAAGTAAGGCTTGACAGGAAAGATAGTTTAAACTTAAAATAAATGTTAGTTAAAGTAAACATAAACCCTACACCGTAAAATTTGCAAGACCCTTTAAATAGAATGATTGAATTCCAAAAATCGCGATGCCAACATAAGCAAAATAAAGTTGCAATAATACATTGAACACTTGCCTTGGATAATAGCTTTAAATTTCACGTGAGTGAATAAAATAACAAACGAATAAAGATTAAATTGTGTTTGTAGATAACTCAAGGTATTTACAGTAATGTTTCTGAAAACTGCAACACCATGAAGGAATTATGCGAGTTGAACCAAACTCGCAGGAAATGTAAAGTGAGGTAAGACATGCAAATGATTCGAGCGATTTCCCAGGCCGTGGAATGAGAAGAGTCCGCTTCTTCAGTGTGTATAAAGGACCGTAAAGTTGGGTTGAAATGTGTTTACCGTCTTCTGTCTGCGGTGAACATTTAATTAGTGCTCAGTATGTCTCGTCAACAACGGTAGTTAGTATTGGTAAACACTAACTATGGCATCCGTTAGTGTTAGTAAGCACTAACGGACTGTTCACCATCCGCTAGTGTTGGTAAACGCAAACGGAGTGTGAACGAGGCTGCATCATCGGCATGCGAGAGGGTGGACTTCCGTATCTAGCATTCGCATCTCGCAAGCAGCGTAATGCCGCTAAAGTGATGCCGTGTTTGAAACAAATGGGAAGAGCGGAATCAAACAAAGCGAAATCCTGGCAATGGCACAACGGCACGGGACTACAGACGCTGCATCCGCAAGGCTGTAACGGATCGTACAGCGTCCTCTCGTGTGTTAGCACAACGTTGTAGCACGGCTACAGGTGTTGTGTTGTCTAGTTCCACGGTTCATCGCCGTCTGCTGCTGCATGAAAGGATTTCATGCTGCTGCGTGCAAGGTTTCCTCTAGGCAGGATTACCCTATCGTTGAACCACAGACGCCTCTGACTTCAATGGGCTTGGCAACACAGTGCGTGGCGTGCCATCTGGCAACAAGTTGTTTTCTCCGATGAATCTCTCTACAATCTGGAGTACAATGATGGAAGCGTTAAGCATCAGACGTTACAGAGGGCAGAGCCATGCACCCATGGTGTGTTATCCAGCGTCATATCGCACAAACGCCGGGCATCGTGGTGTAGGAGGCTTTTGGGTGTAATTGTCGATCCCACCTAGTGCAGACTGCGGACATCCTCAACAGTGATAGCTACATAAGCAAAATGGGGCACGAAAGTTGTGAAGCACAAACGATTTCGCTTCTTCCATGACCTGTTTATTCCCCGTATGTGTCGCCCATTGAGCATGTCTGGGATTTCATCGGTCGACGACTCGCTCGTACGCATACAAAGACTGAATTCTGGCGTCATGTCGAAGCCGTATGGAATGTGGTCGCTCGTACAGCTCGAAGCCATATGGAATGTGGTTCCTCCCGATTACTTTCAGAACCTGTATGTTTCAGTGCCGGGACGTGTACACAGGCCCTCATTTCTCAGCGTGGCGAACACACAAAAGTACTGATTTCGGACGTTCGTTTTGTTTTTTTCACTCGTAAATTTGATCGTATATTTGTACTATTGTATTGACGGTTTATCAGTAGTATGTGGAATAAATTTCATTCATTTCCGAAAATTCCTTCACGGTACTGCATTTTTCGCAAATATTAGCGTAGTAGAACTAGTCTATTTTGCTGTTATACTTTTGTGACCACCAAGCAAAGTAACACAGTATAATAACAATAACACAGTATAATAACTTTAGTGACTACCAAGCAAAGTAACACAGTATAATAACTTTTGTGACCACCAAGCAAAGTAACACAGTATTATAACTTTTGTGACCACCAAGCAAAATAACACAGTATAATAACAATAACACAGTATAATAACTTTTGTGACCACCAAGCAAAGTAACACAGTATTATAACTTTTGTGACCACCAAGCAAAGTAACACAGTATTATAACTTTTGTGACCACCAAGCAAAATAACACAGTATAATAACAATAACACAGTATAATAACTTTTGTGACCACCAAGCAAAGTAACACATTATAATAAATACGAGGACTGAAAACAATTATTAACTCTGTGCTTTAAGGAAAGCCCGAATTCATTGGCTTATGAACCGAGTGAGTTCATCTGCCAAGTGTTAGTTTTCTCCACACCTCGTTTACCCGATAAGGATTTTTCGATATTACGATTGCTCAAATCTGCGATTTCCAGAAAATCTGATTTCATGATATCGTAACTGCTGACATCATGACGAATCTACATCATCGTGACTTCACTGCCGGTACATCTGAAGTACCGGCAGTCTTTGTATGATCTTGTATGATCTATACCAGCCGTTCTCAACTTTTGACTAACGTGAACCATCTAGACAAAAATTGAAAAACTTTAATGCCACCACTATGTTTCACAATGATTACTTTTCAGTTTCTCAATAGAAATATTAAAAAAATATATTTTGCCATTTTCACATCCTGTTGGCTGTTTGTACTAAATATGCACACTTAAAGTATATTAAATTAAAAATTGGTTATCATTTTAACACGATGAGCGCGGCGCCGAATTTGCTGTCCTTTCCGTTCAGCCGGCGGCGAACTAAGCCGTATTTTTGTTTAGAATGTTTCAATACATTTTATTAAAACTAAATTTGATCACATTTCATTGAGACTATATTTATTTTTTAACTTTAATACTGTCGGTCCCGCGGATCGACGCCAGCCAAACGAAAATTCCACTGCCGGTCCCCAGGTACCGACGCCGGCCACACGGAGAGTTCACTGCCGGTCCCCAGGAACCGACGCCGGCCACGTGGAAAGTTCACTGCAGGTCCCGAGGGACCGGCGCCGCGCTCAACGTGTTAATTATCAAATTTAACTTATAATATTTTAATTCTAGAATTTATTGTGAAATTTGGGCCTGTTTAAGAGAAATCAATTTCTTTGTCTGGTCATATTTCACTTAGCTTTAACCGTAAATTAAGATCCACTTTTAATTTTGTTAGTCATTTTTCAAATATAAAATGGAAGAAAATCCATGTTTTTACACAAATAGATTGTGCAAAAAGGGAATAAAAATTTAATAGCTTTGTTTGAAATGCCTTTAAATTTTTCAATTCATCCTAACGTTAACAAGTGTGTTATTTTTGAATCTTCAATTAGAGTTGTATCATAGGAAATTTCTATCAATAGTTATTTTTCTTCACGAGATTTTTGAATTTACAATAATATTTAAAAATATTTTGTTTCTTTGCGTACCACCAGCTGAGAATCGCTGATCTATACATTTCGCCACAGACGAACTGCCGCCCTTTTCTGATGTTTTGTCTGATTTCCGAAGACCATTCATGGTGGCGCAGCCCCCGTGGTCCCCTCCAGGCTTTATACCCATTGGACGAAAAAGTAACTCTCAGACAAGAAAAAAGTAACTCGTGCCGATAACGGCGACAAGTGAACAAATTTCTTGCTTAAATGCATACTGGTTTATGAATTGTTCTCTAGCTGAAACAACAAAATTCAGAAATGATAAAATAATTGACTCTTCGCTTTAAAGCAAGAAACAGATAAGAAAATCAAACATAGTTTTATAGAACAGATAGATAATTTCATAGAAGTACTAGCCTGTCAAGCAAATGATTCGTCTTTCAGTTGCTGTAGTGTAAAAAGAGCGAGCTGTCGGGCAAGTGGGTGTCAAACAACTAATTTACGGCCTTACAAATAAGACTTAGAAATCCTTACTATTAATGGTACTTATAATTCCATTCAGTTCTATGTAAGATATAAAAGTACAGAAGAATGATTTTGTTGAGAATACCTGATCCAGAGAATCGCTTGCAACTGTGAAAACGATAGCCAAAATTGATAAAGTGACGAAAGCTAAGCACGTTGAGTTGACCATTTTGTTAAAGAATCTGGAAGAAAAAGAATAAACATTAACGATATGTCATTCATTCTACATTAGAATACAGCAAAAATAGTTTTTCGCTACTAGAATATACAATCTTTCAATTAGCGCGAGAATATCTGAATTACGGAATTTTTGGACAGAAGTTTCTGAAAATATGTCTTCAACCTTTGCACAATAATATCGGCACATGAGCTCGAGGGTTCTATTGATTATATCCATAATAAATTTCGAAGCATGCTTATTTCCAAATTCTGAATTTCGCATCGATATATAATTCTTATTATTTTGTAGGTTTCATAGTCAAAAGTTATTTCGTGTTCAGTCTTAGTTCTTCTGTTTTGACGAAACGCGATATGGAATTAGCTGGATTCGAAAAATCATTGTGCATTTCTTCTGAAAAGTCCGTAATTGAGATTCGAATTAGGCTAATTTAGTACAATTTACCGCTTCTTTGTATTTTTGCTTGTGTCTTAAATAACTTTTGTGTTTATGTTTAAATGTTTCAGGATTGTTTAAACTTTATTCAACATTTTTTAACATTTAAATTTGATCTGAGTTTTATATTCATTTTTTATTTGTCAGTTTTCTTGTTATAATTTCATTTATCTTGAATTTTAACTTTCAAATGCAATTTATTTTAACTTAGTGTTAGAAATTATTCACTTGAACCTCAGTATCACATTTGCTTTAAAGCCATAGCATGAAGAATTTTCTTTTTTACCTTGTTTTCTAAATTTTGGAGCTCAATGCGCAACATTCTTGACCACATATGTCTTTTTTAGTTTGTTATCCTTTCTTAAATTATTTTATTCAGTTTAGTATATAGGAATTCGCAAATGAGTAAGCAAATTCATACTGCATTCAGATGAAAGCTACAAAAGTTATTGCTGCTGATTCAAGGAAAGAAGAAGAAACTGTGAAGTTTCATGTAATTTTAGGATAAATGGCCTTAAATATACAGAAAATAGAAAACATTGAAAATAGTGTCAATGTACTAAAAAAAAGTTGCAAAATGAAAATTCAACTTATTAAGCTTTATGGAATCAAAATCTGTAAAATCAAATATGTATCTGAATGAATCAAAATCTGTATCTGAATCAAAATTCTGTAAAAAAAATCAAAAAAATAAATTGCTGGTTGCAGCTCCTGCAACAGATATTTAACAATTTAATTCACTTTGACTATTTAGTAATCTGACATATCGTGGACGCCAGTTTTTTTCTATTATAAGATAATACTCGGCACTTAATAGTAAAATCAAGGACAATATGAAGCACTACTCAACATCTGAAAACTCTAAAGCATTTTGTCTCGTTCTGTAACATTAATCCTTTTCGGAACACTGTGTCCGGCCTGGACACATATAAAAATTTTCTTCTGTACACACAGAAAAATTGAATGAAAAAGGATTTATAGGTTACTCTGAACCTTCTTTATTTATAGTAGATGGCAGCTCAACACAAACCAATCCATATATTTTAGCCATGTTTAGTTTTTTAAGACCCTCATTTTTCAAAGAAATCTTACAGATTTTTTTAGGATATAAAAGGAATCGTTTGAAAAGAAATTTCTATGTTATTTTTTTTTGTCTGTATGCTAATCTCCTTATTCTATATTAGTTTTAAATGTTTATCTTGAAATCTTGCCTAAAATCAAACGGCGAATCCTAGGTGTGCCCAGACGGGGCTCACCGATCATCTAGGATAACTGAGAGTCTGTATTCTTTGTTTCTCCGCATCTCATCGGTCAGTTCATTGACAACAATGCTCGTTTCAGCACTCTTTTCGAAGCTCTATTCAGTCAGTGTACCTACTTTGGGCACAGTCACAGAATTAAACGATAAGTGCTATCTTCACAAAATTTTACTTGTGTACACTTCTAGGCCTATATAGACTGCCTACCTATTTTCTTTTTTTTTTTTTTTTTTAAATCAAAACTCAGACTTTAAAAGGTAGCGTGCCGGAAAGGGTTAAGCAAATAATATAAAAATTTCGTTTAGAGACGCTTGCTGTTTAGTATTTGTTTTGCACTTGTGGGCATTGCAAAGAGGAAAAGAAGACTTGAATTAGCTTACGCTTAGATCAAAATTTAATTTTCATGAATGTTCAGAAACACTGTAGATGATTATAGGTGCAATGTTCTTTCATTTTCTTCAAATTCAGAACTCAGTTATTTTTTAAATGATGCATAAAATGGATCCATTTTAAAGATTACGTTATTTAAGTCGAGCAAAAATGAGAACAACTTAATAAGCTTAATAAAGCAGGACATTTCTATGAGCACTGCGAGTTTATCGAAGAATATTTCAGATATTATTTTCCAACAAAACACAAGAGGAACGAAGAATGTTCCAGATATCGTGTTTCCGAAAAATACTGTAGCTGCTCACTCGTCCTTAGATGTCAGAAAATCAACATTTCTTGTAGAATAGAATAAATAAAATGCGTTTATTGAACATCCATCCCATGTTAGATTTTTTAAATGTATTATCTGTAAAACAAATACGATGTCTTCCCTTGAATTTCAAAACAAAAATACATTTCTTCGGCCTTCCTTTTTGTACGAGAAATATCTGATGTTCTGCAGCACGATATAGACCGATGTAGACTATAGTTTATCAAGTAACCAAGGGGCAGCACGTTTCTGTATACAAATTATGCAGTAAAAATATTTTAGTAGTCAACTACTTTTCGAAAACATATATAAGTATAATATTATACGAATATAAGTATACTATAAATACATAAATATACTGTGCTATTATATATATATATGTAATAATAAAATTCCATAGTCAAGAATACACTTAAAATTCTAACTGTATGTTCTTTTCATTTTTAATGGCGACGTTCTCTTATTTGAAAGTACGTGGAATTAAATCCACAGCCCCGTAGTCAAGTTTTTTGTCCCGCCTTTTCTACACGTACAGTTATAGAATGTTCTGGAAATATTTAAAGCGAACTGGATTGGCTGACGAGGCTGACATCATTTCTTGGAAGCTCCGCCTTTCCAGAGGCTATAAAAGGACTCGCAAAAGAATATCTGGGGCTTTTCTTAAATGTCACGATGCAGTAAACTTCATACAAAAAGTTATTAGTAATTCTTTTTATTTACTCCGTATATCTGATTTTGTAACTGCTATTTCTCCTGAATAATAATAAATGGATCCTATTTTTTAAACTTATCGTCTGATAATTTAAGTTACGACTAAAGCTGGTACATCACATACATATAGATAGATATAAACATATAATATACAAATTATATTGTATATAATACATCATATATTTATAATATAAATATATAAATATAATATACTATTATTAGTTTTGTTTTGGAAAGGTATTATATTATTTATATTTGTATAATGTAATACTTTTCAAAAACAAATATAATAATATTTTTTGCGTGATAGAATTTAAATTTGTGTATTTTATTTATCTGTCCTATAAAGCAAAAGGGTAAGTTTTCATTGCTTCGATTTTATCTTTCGTCGTAGGTATAAGGACACTAATACGGAATAAAAGACTACACGCCATTATTGCATATTCATAAACTTTCCCATCCTTTCAATTAAAACAAAATCTAAAGTGAAATCTAAAAACGAAGCAATTTTCATAAGCCGTTTAGCTTTAAGGTAATTATTTGTAAGGAATTTTCTCATTCGTAAACCGCGTAGCTTCGTGGTGTAAAGAGAAGCACCACCCGTTTGAATCCCGGCGAAAGCATCGCAAGTTTTCTGTTATTCCTGCTCTAAAATAAATTTAAATATCATTAACATAACACAAATGCCCACCAGCGGCCGAGCGGTAAAGTAGCTGAAAACTGGTAGTTCGGTCCGCGGTTCCAATCCCGCGAACGAGCTGGCTGCATGGGCGTTTTCGTCGGTTTCCCCATGTTTAACGTGTACGAGCCAGTTTTCCTTAGAAAGTCCTCCACGAAGGCATTCCTCCCCTTAGGCAGATAGCGCTCGAGGCTTTGCCATAATCACACACACATAACACAAATCTAAAACTGACCGCTACCAGTAACTGAAAGCTCTTTCTATTAAGTCTGTATTTTGCATGTGTGAGAGAATAATAACTAACAATCGATGCTTTTTACTTCCTTGTACGAAGCAAAGGAAGTATTGTACTCACGAATAATTCCGGGTACCATATTTCAATGAAAATATTCATTTTGACGGCTGTCGAATGCAATTGAACAATGTTTTAGTAATACATAAGGACAGAATAAAGGACTCTTTTTCCCAAAATGGAATATAAAACTGATTTAAAATGGATTCAGAAGAGGTTTGTTTCGTGACATCTGTATGTATGCATTTATCTCGTATAACCCAAAAATGAGTAGCCTCAAAACGTGGAAATTTTGTATATAGGACTGCTATAATATGTAGTTGTGCATCTCCCGTTTTGATTGTAATCGGCCGCACCAAAAGTATATATATATATATATATACCCACTTTGTTACTCGGCTAAGTGAGCTCATATTTTTTTTTTTTTTCTATTCTTACATGTTGGTAATTGCGCAATTTTGTGTCTAAAAATGATTGAATTATGTTGTTCTTATCTTCCGGTTAGGGTTATTATGCTTTTAGTTAATCTGCATGCAATATTTGTAGACTTGTCAACAATTTACAAGTTGTTTAAGTGCGGCTAAGCCTAATTTCTGTTTACCGTAGCAGCCATATTTGTTTACATTTGAAACGTATCAGAATAGTGAATTCAGTTTCTGCACCTTCAGTCTTTTTTTTTTTTTTTTTTTTTTCCGAGTGTGACTAAAATTAAACTTTCATTATTTGCACCGAAAAATCTGCCTTGTTGCCTGCTGGCCGAATGTCTTCTTTTTGCGTAGGAACACTAATTTTAATTGTAAAAATCGTTTTTTTTAAATCGTTTTAACTTTATTTGGTGTTTTTATTTTTTTCCTATATTTTTCAATTTTTATTAAAGATATTTTGAGGTTTTATGTATTTTTGCCTTGTCGCGAACGGAGAACAGAATTAATTGAATGAGAAATAAATCTCTAAT